ATTTAAATAGACAATTCTAAGTTTGCAAATGCAGGATAATATAGTCAAGATTGATTATAATTGTCAATAAAATAATTGTATAGATATGATTGAAACCAAATAAGAGACATAAGGGTTGGCAAATAAAAATTATGGCATAAAATATTAAATATATATTAATATTGAAGAGTTAACTGCTGATTGTCAAACAAGGACATTGCAAGATAGTTTTACACTTCAATTTGTTGGGTGATTTGAATACTCTTTTTGTCAATAAATCCCCCAAGTACTTAATAGCTTAATATGATTGGCTTTATTAATTATATATATATATATATATATTTTTTTTTTAATTTTTAATTTTTTCATGGAATTAATAAAATACTTGGTAAATAAATATATAGCATTATTTTGTATTATTACTTTGATATTTAATTAAAAAATAGTGCACAAAAAGATAATAGACAATGTAGTGAATATAATCAATTGATGAATTTGAATGTAAAGAATTTTTACATTGGAGAAATATAAAGATAATATAACTAATAAAATTATTTCTCTTAATTAATTTATTGATTTATTGATAATGAATAATTTTTTTTAATAAAGACATTGTAGGGACAATGTAGCAAATATAATCAATTGATGAATTTGAATGTAAAAAATTTTTATATTGAAGAAAAATAAATACAATATAACTAATGAAATTATTTCTCTTATTTAATTTATTGATAATGAATATTTTTTTTTTTTGAATAAAGACTTGTAGACACATAATTCTAAATTAAAGAAATGCATATGTATTATTTTTTGTTGTAGCTACTAAATTATTATTTTAATTTAATTAGAGTACTAATTATGCCAACTTTGATTGAGATTTGGTTCAACCCTAAGACCTTTCTTATTGAAATCAATGAGTAAGTTAACGGTGAACTAACAGAAATTAATGGAAAAGATAATATTTAACGGAAAAGTTAACAGAAAATCATATTCATTAAGATCAACGGCTCAAATCAATGAAAATTAAAAAAAAAAAAAAAAAAAAAAAAAACGTGTGCCTAGAACAAAGAAGTATAAGCTAAGATGCACCTTAAGTATTAGATCTTAATCACAAACTCGCACACTTTAAGTACAAAACTCACACACATTAAGCACAACCTCACGCATATTAAGCACAAAACCCACGCACTTTAAATATTAACTCACAGACTTTAAGTTTCAACAACTATTGACGTTAAGTACAAAACTCACGCACATTAAGTACAAAACTCACGCACATTAAGCACAAACATCACGCACATTAAGCACAAAACTCACGCACTTTAAGTATTCACTCACAGACTTTAAGTTTTAACAACTATTCACGATAAGCACATCCCCACGCACATTAAGCACAACCTCACGCACATTAAGCACAAAATACACGCACATTAAGCACAAAACTCACGCACATTAATCACAGATCCGCTCACTTTAATTTTGACCTAAATGCAAAAATTACAAAATTGCCACCGCATTTTTTTTTTAAACTTTGATAATCCTGGACGTTGATTAAAGCGAGATGAATGGCTCAGATTAAACCGCACCTGAAGCCCTCACCCGCACGAGAACCTATATATATATATATATATATATAGAGAGAGAGAGAGAGAGAGAGAGAGTTAATTCCAGCAATGATCCTCTGACTATATTGATTTTCCAAAATTAGTCCTTGACTTTTAATTTGGACACTTTAGATCCCTTGACTTTCAATTTCTTTCAAATTGAGGTCCTTTCGTCAGAATACGGTTAATTGAATTTTAAATGAAGGGGTAAACTCATCATTTCACCTGCCTATATATTATTCTTAGTATTTCTCCATTGTATATGCGATATATATGAAGATAATCTTAGTCGAAACCCTAAAATGTTCCTCGTCGTTCCCCATTTGCTAACTACTCGTGTGTGTGTTCCTCTATTATTGAGATGTTTACAAGGTATAACAGCGAAATACGAAGGGAGAAATACGAAGAATAATACATAGGCAGGTGAAAGGACAAGTTTACCCCTTCATTTAAAGTCTAATAATGAACCGATTCTAACGAAAGGACCTCAATTGAAAAGAAATTGAAAGTCAAGGACCTAAAATGTCCAAATTAAAAATCGGGGACTAATTTTGGAAAATCACTATAGTCGGAGGACCATTGCTGGAATTAACTCTCTCTCTCTCTCTCTCTCTCTCTCTCTCTCTCTCTATATATATATATATATATATATATGTATATATATATATATATATATATGTATATATATATGTATATATGTATATATATATATGTATATGTATATATATATATATATATATATATATATATATATATATATATATATATATATATATATATATATATATATATATATATATATATATATAAAAGAAAGTTCAAATGCGGCGGGGTCTTCCCGTGCGGCGGTGCGGCAGAATTTCAGAATACACCAACAGTGTTAACAATATGCATCAACAGTGTAAGGAAAACACACCACAATGAAATATAATAAAACATCAAAAAATATACAACAGACCCAAAAAAAACACATCATATAACTCACCACCCCCAATAGTGTATTTTCAAACAGTGTATGGTGTTTTTACTCACACCTAATGGTGTGTGTTTGGTGATGCATACCTAATTTTCCTCTGTTTTTTGTGGTGTATTTTCCTAACGTTGATGGTGTATATTTGTTGAACTATTGGTGATGTCGCACCGCCGCACCTGAACTCGCCTATATATATATATTAGTAGACAAGCTTACTTACAAATCAAATACAAATAAAAACAATTTAAAAAAAGTAGTGTAAATATTAAACCATAAATATTTGGAGTAAAAAGTGGCGTAGCATCGCTGTTTCCCACCGCCAGAGCACGGGCTCATGAGATACTATATTACAATATCACACCGTCATAAACTATGCCCCACCGAAAGGAACATAAAGCGATCGAGGCCTTGCATGAATGCATGACTAAATGAACACACGTACTCCATCTTTTCTTCCTCAGCTCTTTAACACATATATAAATAAATAGCTGTACTTAAAAGTACAATTTTTTTTAAAAATTTTTACTATTATTATATTTTGAGGGGTAGAAGGTTGGATTTGCCTCGAAACTGATACTACTTGTTAGGAGCTTACCACTATATCCAAATAGCCTAAAGTTCAAACAGAGTGTTAAACTTGGCCATTTTCTGACCTCTACCCAACGACAAATTATTGTATGGATCATGGTCGACACAGTGTTATGTGGACCATAATAAAAAATACATTTTTAATATATTAAATGTACATTATTTTTGTACTGTATGTACATTATACAATATAATGTACACTCAGTACAAAAATAATGTACATCTCCTGAATACAATGTACATTATTTTTGTATTGAATGTAAATTATTTTTGTACTGAATGTACATTATTTTACCGTATAAAAAATATGGTCCATACAACTTATGTGGACCATGGTCCACACAATAATGATTGCTACCCAACAATAACAATTTATATCATGGACCAAGATCCACATAATATAATATTATGGACCCTAGATCAAAACGACGAGCTACAGAATTCATGCTTTTAGGGGATGTTTGGATCATGGAAAATGTTTTCCTAGGCAAACATTTTCCTTAAACGGGAGGAAAATGTTATTTTCTGGTGTTTGGTTCATGGAATTAAAATGAATTCCTCAAATTTGAGGAAAACAAAATCCTTGGTTGGACCAAGGATTTTGTTTTTCATGGAAGATGGAAAAAAAAAAAAAAAAAAGTGATATGGATAGCCTATTTAACCATTGTTTTCTTTTCTTCTTCTTCTTTTTTTAAATTCTATTACTCTTAATAATTTGTAGGGACATATAGATTTTTATACTCGTTATTCCTAACCCACTGCAGGAAATTGTGGAATTTCAGGACCACCTGAAAGTGATCTTAATCAAGTCGAAAGCAAAAAGTGGTCGGGAATAGCAATAAAGGTTTTTCCGGATACCAAAAGTGGTTGGAACAAGGCTTTCGACTTGATTTAAAATAACTTTCAGGTGGTCGGAAATTCCATAATTTCCCAGCAGTGACAATTCCAAATCTAACCAAACAATAGAATTAGTATTCCTAATAATTCTTTTTCCACCAATCAAACAATGAAATTCATCATCCTAGTAATTGTTTTTCCATAGAATTTCAATTCTACTCCCCTTAAAATATTTTCCGCAAACCAAACGAGCACTTAAAGTACAAAATTTTCATAACACAAGATACCAAAAACCGGTTAAAGTACCTATGAAGTCCCTGTACTATAGTGTTTTGTTCAATTTAGTCCTTGTACCTTTATTCTGTTCAATTTAGTCCCTCTACTTTAAAAAGTGATAAAACTAAGGACAATTGTCCAAATCTCATTACGAACATGATCATAATTATTTATTTTGGACATACTAATTTAATATATTGGTGGTAAAAATAATAAATTTTAAATATTTATAAAGTAATATATGAGTAGGAATATAAATATCATCAGCGCCACGTAACCTAAGTTAACGATAATATTAACATCGTTAACTAGTGTCCTTAATTGCACCACTTTTGAAAGTACAGGGACTAAATTGAACAAAATAAATGTATGAGGGCTAAATTGAACAAAACACTATAGTATAGGGACCTCGTAAGTACTTTAACCCCATAAACCACAACATAAAATATATACACATGTTATATATTTACTAATTTTTCAAATATGATTTAAGTACATAATTTGTATATATTCATAAACACAGAATTTCACAATTCAAAACATAAAATTTTCATCAGAACATAAAACATAATTACTAATTTCTTTCACATTATTTAAAATATAAAATTTCATAACACAAGATACAAAAACTCGCAAATTAAAATACATACACATACACTAGGATTTATATATAGTGCGCCCTGTTAACCTTGATCCTTGATATAAAAATTGCTCAACAATCCCTAGCCACCATTTACTTAGACTTGGCCTGACCTTCGTCCAACAAGACAATACATATATAAACCTCTCCCAAGTTTTGTCTCCTTTGACATTCCGAAAACCATTTACTACGTCGGAAAATTTGTGGATCCGAAGGAGTAGAGATGGAGAAGACGGTCGAAATCCCTCAAGGGCTAACGGAAGAGGAATATTCCCAGCTCGAACCGGTGATCCGATCATACCACACCTTCGACCCGAGACCCAACACCTGCACCTCCCTGATAACGCAGCACATCGACGCGCCGGCGAGCGTGGTGTGGCCGTTCGTCCGCCGCTTCGACAACCCCGAGAAGTACAAGCACTTCATCAAGAGCTGCCGGATGGTCTCCGGCGACGGCGGCGTGGGCAGCGTCCGGGAGGTCACTGTGGTCTCCGGCATCCCGGCGTCCACCAGCACCGAGCGCCTCGAGATCCTCGACGACGACAACCGAATCATAAGCTTCCGAGTGGTCGGCGGCGAGCACCGGCTGAGCAACTACCAGAGCGTCACTTCAGTCAACGAGCTCGAGAAGAAGAATGGGAGCGTTTACACGGTGGTTTTGGAGTCGTATATCGTTGATATACCGGAAGGGAATACGGTGGTGGACACAAAGATGTTCACAGATACCGTCGTGAAGCTGAACCTGCAGAAGCTTTGCATGGCGGCAATGGCCGCTTTGCATGGCCACGAATAAACGCCGCGGCGGCGGCGGTGGTGCTACGGTGGTGCTGAATTGTTGAGTTGCTTTATATGTTGGCGGCGAGACACCGGGCAACAGATATATTTATTAAAAATGTAAGTTATATTTATTTAAAATTTGTCATAACTATTTAATGTATAATAAATTAGCTGAAAATAAAATAAAATGAAAAAAAAAAAAAAAAAAAACTAGAGCTATGAATATTGATAAACATTTGTGAAGGACGGGAAGATATATTATTTTGCCAATAATGACAATAGTGTACTCCATTACTTATTTATTTTTATTTTCTGTGCATTTAATTTCTTTAATTGGAGACATTATATTATTACTCCGAATATATAATGAATTAATGATTGATGTTTTATTAACATATATGGTAGAAATTGAGCCAAATATTTTTTTTAATTTAATGACATTGACCGACTCTAGTAGGAGGCTCCAAATGTAATTTTCCAACTCTTTTAAGGGGTTGATTTTCTTTGCTTGATTGTGTTGTTTTGCTTTGTTGCATTATTTTTTTTTTTTTTCTGAGGGTTTGGTAATCAATTTCTTCCCCTCTTGTATTTGCTGGTTCAGTTCCAATAAATGGACGGTTTTTTTTTAATTAAAAATATTTTAAATGTATGAAAGTTGGTGAAATTTGGAATTTTAATCTATAATGTCTTGACATATAATATTAGTGGTAATAAGAAAAATGGTGTATTATCTAAGGGGGTGTATTCAATCATGACTTTCATAGAGTTTTAAAGACTTTTATTAACTTTAAAAGTTTGGAGGTATTCAATTCAAACTTTTAGAGAGTCTTTAAAAGTCAGGCGGTATTCAATCAAGATTTTTAAAGAGTTTCTAAAAGTCATGCGGTATTCGATTAAGACTTTTAGAGAGTCTTTAAAAGTCATGTGGTATTCAAAAAGTTATGAACTTTTGTAGACTTTTTAATTTTAGGACTTTTGTAGACTTTTCCTTCTCAAATATAAATAGTTGAAATCCAACCATCAACCCCAAGATTTCAAAATTTTCTTTCTAACAACTTTGAATGTTTTCTCTCTCTATTTAAACTCTATTTTTTCTCCTTATTTAAACTTTATAAACCTATCTAAATTTAATAAAATTATTTTTTCTTCATTATCCTATATTTTCCTCATATATACCTAAACTCTACCAATTTTTCTCTCTCTTAAACTTTACAATATTCCTCTAAAAATTCGAAATAATATTATTTTAACTTCATTATTGCGTGTTTATATTGATTTTTATTTTTTTCTATGAATTTTTTATCCCTAACTTTCTCTAATTCTCCCTAAATACATGAACAAAGCAAAATTTTCATCGTTAAATTTTAGTATATGTTTCATAATATTCATATAAATACTTATATATTTTGATTTTTATATATTCTTTTTATGTTTATATTCGTAATATATATTTTTCCTTTTTTTTTTTTACAATAGGTTACTACGAATAGTGAACTATTGTTCGCAACAACAATTTGGAGTTGCAAACAGTAGCACCTTGTTGTTGTTCGCATCCTCAAATTGCTATTACAAATAATAGTTCTTTGCGTGATATCTAGCAATATATCAAGTATAATTATATATAAATTATTAATATTAGATTTTTATTTTTTTATTTTATGAAACTTGTAATTATATTTTTAAATATTTTATGTGATCAATTCTTTTATTATAAATTTTATTGTTCAATATTATTATGAATTTCATATTAAATAATTTTTTTTTGTTGATGTTTATTAATAATATATATAAGTTTCAGCATACTATGTATAAAAATAATAATGTTGATGTGGGTGAAGAACTATATGATAAGAAGAATTTTATAATATATTACAAATGTTTTGTAAGAAAATTATAAATGATAAGAATCAAAATCATTGAAAGTTTGTAAAGATGTATTAGATTTAGAATTTTAATGACTTTTGTAGACTTTTTAAAATAAGAAGTTCATAAAAGTCTATGAATGTTTTTTATATAGACTTTAGAATCTTATAAAGTTTTTAAAAGTTTTGAACGACTCTATGAAAGTCAATCAAAGTTTTTTAAAATCTATCATTTTAAAAATCTTTAAAACTCTACAAAAGTCATGATTGAATACACTCCCCTAAATATCGCACAATCTCATATTAATTAATGTTGCATTGATCGGTTAAATTAAATCATAAATTAATTAAATAAAATTGCACTAAATTTGATAATAATAATGATAATAATAATAATAATACTAATAATAATAATAATAATAATAATAATAATAATAATAATAATAATAATAATAATAATAATAATAATAATAATAATAATAATAATAACAGCCATAAATCAGGGTAAAAATCCATTTCTTTAAAGCAAAAATATCGAGACCTTATAGCATTATTTAAAAAAAAATGTATTATTTAACTTTATAATAATGAACTACCATTACACCCAGTGAATTTCTCTCGTCACCGCAAAAAAAAAAAAAAAAAAAAAAAAAGTATAGGTTTGGTTAGTTAAAGGAACAATTGATTCCAACCCCCACCCCCCCCCCCCCCCCCCACCCAAAAAAAGGAGCAATTGTATTTTTAAAAGGAAAAAAAAAAATTAGTGCCTCAATTGTTCATGGCTAGTTATTTTAGTCCATAATAACTTTTTACCGTTGTAATATACACCACTAACTCTTCAAAAAAGTAAAATTTTAACCCATAAAGCACAAATTCATTAAACTTTATTAAAATTTTACTTAGCACATGGGTATTTTAATACTTTTCAATGTTTCTTTTTTAATTATAATATTCTTTAGTTTCAATATTTCATTTGTAAAATAAACAACTTAATTTTAATAGGTTTGTGTAGGGAAAACAAGGGCGATGTACCATCATTGAAGAGAAAAATTTTAAAGAATGTGTCAGTTCTCTATTTTGCATATGCAATACCATAACTGGAAATGTGATATCGAATAAAGTTAATAAAATTATAAAATACCCATTTATTAAGTAAAATTTTAACAGAGTTTAATAATTTTGTTGCTCTAGGCGCTAAAATTGTAACTTTTTTAAAGAGTAAGGGTGTATATTGCAATGCTAAAAAAATGAAGGATTAAAACTGCTAGCAATGAGAACGGATCAAATGAGAACGCGCGCCAATGAAAGAAATAGGAACTCATCGCAGCCGTACATCTAGATAGATCTAATGGATCAGAAACACTTTAAAAAAAAAAAAACACTATGACATTTTTGTACATAATTATATATTGAATTAGTTCAAGTAAATTGTGTTAAAAGTGCAAGTAATAGTTTCATATACTGCACATAAGTCTTTTTCCACCAAAACAATAGACTGTACATAAGTACAAGTTAAATGTATTAAAAGTGTAAGTAAAATGTATTAAAAGTGTAAGAAAAATGTATTAAAAGTGAAACAAATAATATATTTCGATAAACATTATTAGTTGCACCAAACGTTAACATTAAGTACACCAATGTGAAAGACGTTATCATTAAGTGCACCAATGTGAAGAGGTGAATTTCTTGCACTATTAAGTGTAATTGGTTGCACTTTTTAAGTGACTTTATTTGCACATTTGCATCTGTTACTTGTTCTTTTAACACAATTAAGTTAGTTGCACTCAAAGTTCTAATTATTTACAAAAATGACACTGCATTTTTTTAAAAAATTACATCTGATTCGTTGCTCTTTTCAGATGGACGGCTCAGGTTCATATTTCTCTCATGGGGGCCCATTCTCACTGGAGTGCATCCATGCGTGCGCGCGCGCATACACACACATATAGATCAAATGCGAACAGGCCTTCCCGTGCGGACGTGCGGTCATGCACCATTAGGTATGTATAAATGCATTACAACGTGTTCATAAATACAGCAGAATGAAATGCACAAATGCACCACACCCTGGGACTTGCGGTCATGCACCACCAGGATTGCATAAATGCACCACCAAGTGTTTAGAAATACACCAAGGTGAAATGCACTAATGCGCCACAAAAATGCACCACTCCTGGCCTGGTGCATTTTTGAACACGTTGTGGTGCATTGTTTTATACCTAATGGTGGATGACCTCATGTCAGTACAAGAACTAGACTATATATATATATATATATATATATATATATATATATATATATATATATATATATATATATATATATATATATATATATATATATATATATATATTTATTTATTTATTTATTTATTTATTTATTTATTTATTTATTTAGGGAATAAGGGTCAAATAAATCATCGAACTGCACCTAATAATACAATTAGGCCACTGAACTCAAAAAACCAACAATTGAGTCCCTAAACTAACCAATTCCTAACAATTCATCCAATTTGAAGGTTTCTAACAGGTCAACAACCAAATTAATTATTTTTTAAAAAATAAAATTTAAAAATTAATTTAAAAAAAAAAAAAACAGAAACGGCCGGAGACGAAGAAACTTCTTCGTCTCCGGCCTGTTTCTTCGTCTCCACGGCCGGAGATGAAGAGTTTCTTCGTCTCCGGCCATGGGGACGAAGAAACCTTCTTCGTCCCCATGGCCGGAGACGAAGAAACTCTTCGTCTCCACGGCCGGAGACGAAGAATCTTCGTCTCCGGCCGTGGAGACGAAGAAACTGGCCGGAGACGAAGAAGTTTCTTCGTCTCCGGCCGTTTCTGTTTTTTTTTTTTTTTTTTTTTAATTACTTAAATAATTAATTTTTAAATTTTATTTTTTTAAAAATAATTAATTTGGGAGTATGACCTGTTAACCTGTTGGAAACCTACAAATTGGAAGATTTGTTTGAAATTGGTTAGTTTAGGGACCCCACTGTTGATTTTTTAGGTTCAGTGGCCTACTTCTATTAGCTTGTGCAGTTCGATGACCTATTTGACCCTTATTCCCTTATTTAGGGTCTGGTTCTGGTGCAGATAGACTTTCCCTAAGATGGAAAGATTTCAATAGTAGATTGATATGTGAATATGTTAACAACAAGCACCCAACGTATAACTCTCCTGTAGAACTTTATGACTACTTGAGTGAAGAACAATGGGCGAATTTTGTTGCAGGACGACATATTAAAGAGTTTAAGGTATATTTAGCTCATTTAATTATAAGTAATTCAACTGTTTTATTAATATTCACATGTTAGTGAAATCATAAGAAAAAAAGTCAGTAGGCGAGGGAATTACAGGCATTAAGGGGGCGTTTGGTTCGGGTTATCTAGGATAACCAAGGTTATATTTGACTTGT